CTGAAAATCCAAGAGGAGCAATTGAACAAAATGGATACATTGCGCGAAGAATTGGAATACTACAAGAATTTGGTTAACGAATTGCAGCAGGCGGTGCAAGCGAAGGGTACACGCAAAAAAGAGGTTTTCAAGAAGGTGAGCAAATGGCTGCACAGGGGGTTGACGCACACAAATTAGAGATGAGTATGAGTATCGTTGTTGTTTGCAGCAGGTAATTAAACAAGAAACCATTGAGCTTGATGACGGTGATGACGATGATGCCATATCGCTTTCGAGTGGGCCCGATCATGACGACTCTGATGATCCGGACTGGGCCAAAACGCCGGGCTACCGACGTAGAAATCGACACACCGTAAGCCACAGACGCCATATCGTATATTAATCTCTTGAAATTCATTTCACCATTGTCTATGTTTCACACAATACAGCGTCTGACAACTAGCCGGAATACTAGCACCGATAATGACACCTTCACCACAGCTACCAGTCATCCCGAGCGCAAAAATAACACCATCAAGCGTAAGATGGGCGGCTGCAAGTGTCGCAAGGATTGCATAAACAAGCGTTGCGGTTGCTTCTCACTTGGCGATAAATGCTCGTCGAAATGCCATTGTGGCGACGCTTGCAAAAATGGCAAACACGCCACGGACAATGACGACAAAGAGAACGAGGAGTCTGGTGCTAGCGATGATAATAACCATAGTGCGCCGCCAGTCGCTGATCGCTCATTAGAACGCACACCGCCGAAAGCCAACCTTACCGTTAGCAATGACGTAAGCAAAGATGCTGAATCTACATTTATGAAGCCCAGCCACGCGTATCTCACACCGAAAATGGCCAGGTAATTGTTGCATGACATTTGTTGTTGCTTTCGCTGTTTTTAATAGCACTGCATTCATTGTCATTTCATTAAAATTTTGTGCTTGTTGAACGTCAACATTTGAACAGCTTTGCACAGCTCGTATTTGATTGAGCGCAGTATTTTGTGGGCGCATTTTAATCTTATCTAACACGTATGTTCTTAGTAATAATGACAAAAAATTGCATTTTATCGCCTGCATGTGTGTATCAAATGTCTTCCACTTTTCAATAACCTTTGTGCATAAGTTATTTGCTTCTTTTTGTTTATCTTATATTGAATTCTCGAGCATTTCCATTTCAAAATTGTATTTAATTGCTGCTTTTAACATTTTATATATATTTGTTTATACCTAACTATTATTTTTGATAAAGATTTTTTGGTGTTTTTTAATTTTATTTTAAATTTTTTTTAATTTTCCATATTTTTTTAGTTTTCAATATTTTTC